TTATTATTAGGGAATTATTTTTCTGTTCATATACATGTTAAAATCTTACAGCAAATTAGTGTTTATATGCCTCTACAATATAGCCACTTTCTTTATGCTTACTCTCAGCATTATGGCACAATTCTCAGAGGACTGGAGAGTGTGTTCTTTCTCTATTTCTTGCAATTTCAAGGCCATTGCTCTTTGGAGTTTGAAGTGGCCATTATTTACATAGTAACAAAAGGCAGCCTGTTTATATGGTTCTGTAATACCAAGTATGCTAACTAATGTAATCAGACAGAAATAAGAGGCAAACATATTTTTAACAAATATGCAATTTTTTTTGCTCTGTGCATAGTTTTAAGCACATGATATCAGCAACTTTTTTTAGCATACTGATGACCACTGCATTGTCACAGCTTAGAAGATGCTTGGCATTCTTCAAGCAATGCTTCAGTAATTAGCTTTCTTAATGTTGATCCACTTAAAACAAGAAAAGGCAATTAGTGGCGAAAAGGCCTACAACAAGCTCTATCGAAATCTAAGTAACTGTTGACCTTACAGGTAAGGCACGTTGATTTTCAACTCAACCATAAGCGGAAATACTTCGAGCCCAGGTTACCCAAGAATCCTGGAAAGGATGTTGAATAAAGGTCATTATGAACAGATCTGCCTACATTTATAGCTTCTCTGGCAGCTTTGAGTTTGCAACCAACTTATAAAATAGCCCGTATACAAACAGACACAGGCCAGAATCCCAGCTTGGAAGGTATTTTGGGGGTGGGTGGGGAAGAGGAGAAAAGGAAGCAGTGGGGATCCACAAGCACAACTTAGGATGTCAGTCCCAGTGGAAGTTTCCTAGACCTCTCACGGCCTGAATATTTTTTACTTTTCCAACAAGTGTATCCATTGGAAGTTGATGAGAGTGAGAAAGCAGCTGCTGTTAAACACGCAGCACCTTTGTGAAGTTACAAGACTCTCAGGTATTCAGAATTTGTCCAAAGGGCTGCTCCCCCGACCCCCAACCACCAAGCCAAGACGCGTGGAACTGAAGTTAGGTTGTTTTGGAACAAGAAACACACTGGCAGCGTGGGAAGGGGGTGAGATAGGCCAGGGTACAGTAGTAGGGATTATAGAACATGGGCCACAGGGCATCTGGGGAAAAACACACAGAACTGGGGAGAGGTGCAGAAAGGACCGTAGCTGCTCTTTAGCAATGACACAAAAAAGGAGGAGGAAGTAGTCTTCCGTCTCCTCTCATTGCCTGCTTTGCCTGGATTCCTGTCCTCCAGGCCATGACCTAGTCTAGTGTTATTATAGATACTATAATTCAGCCATGAATTAAATGGGCTTTTCTGGGTTTCACTTGGAAGCCTAGCACTGGGTCAGAAAATACAGTCTGAGTTTTTAACAACTAATTTACAAATGAGCTTTTGGAGGGTAACCTCTTTATCATTTGAAGATGATCCAAATTATTCTGTCCTACAAAAGTTAGTTTTAGATGCCTCTGGGAATTATTTTCCTTGGTATGTGTCAGTCAAATCCCTTGTTCTACCCACTGCTTGTCTCTCGACCACTGGATTCTTCATTGGATACCTACAAAAGGTAAGTGATGAATAAAAAGAGAAGCAGGCTCTTTAGCCAACAGTTCTGATCAATACCTTATTTTGGTGACGAGGCACTATGTTTCAAAAAAGGTGGTTTGGTTTTAACTGTGCATTTTCTTCTTCCATATTCTCTCTAACCCCCATTTCCATGCCTAGCAAAGTTATGAAAAGCCCTTCAGTTGTTTGTAGAGAAGAATGGTTTTGGGATCTGTATAACTTTTGGAAACAAAGGGCCAAGTGAATTGCATCAAACTTCCCTCTTTCCCTGGTCCATTTCTGTAGATTTTGGAGCTTCCTCTGTGGGCTTTATCAACGCTACATGTCTAATGGGTGTAGTGCAAAATAGTAGGGTCTGATAAGGCCAAGAAGTCCCTGAGTGGTGCAGATGGTTAATGTGCTTTGCTACTAACCAAAAGGTTGGAGGTTAGAGTCTACCCAGAGGTACCGCAGAAGAAAGGCATGGCAATCTACTTCCAAAAAAACAGCCATTGAAAACCCCATGGAACACAGTTCTACTCTAACACACATGGGGTCACCATGAGTCAGAACTGACTTGCTGACAACTGGTAATAAGGCCAGTGTGTATGTTTATTTCCACTTTCCAGCCATGCTCTTCACATGCAACAAGGAGGGATTACACTCTTCACTGACGCCAATACTGCAGCCTTATGTCATTCTGCATCCCCAGCCTTCTGCCCATTCTGGACCTTTCTGAGTTAAGTTCTGTGATTGAATCATGGTAGTGAAATGATTCCTCTCAACTTCAGCTGCTCATTGGAATCACTTGGGAAATTTTAAAAAATACTGATGCTTGTGTCACAACCCCAGGGCTTCTGATTTCATTGATTTGGGGTTGTGACCCCAGGTGTTGGGTTGTTTAAAAGCTCCCCAGATGATTCTGCAGCCAAGGTTAAAAACCACTGCTCTAGACTCAATTCACTTTATATAGAAACATGCTGACTTACCTAGAATTTTAAAGTTTAATTTAGGTCAATAAATATTGATCGAGTGCCTCCTCTGTGTAAGGCACTATACCAAACTTCAGGCTGAGTTCATATCAACAGGTAGCTAAAATCTAGCGCAGGCAAGAGTGGGCTAGTGCAAGGGGAGGGGTCAGGCAGGTATCCAGAGACTGTGTTTCATTACAAAGTAATCTCTTCCTCCAGACTCAAGAAATACACTACAAGTTTTCAAAGAAAGTAGAATTATATTTGGATGGGGTGTGGGGGGAAACAGAAAATATTTCACGGAGGTGGCAGCATTTGAGACAGATTTTAAGGAACAGATAAGATCTGCACGGGAGAAGAGGTCCTTCCAGACAGAGGAACAGAGTGGTACGTGGCTGGAAGAGCAGGGCCTGTGTTAAGTTTGCTGACCTGTTGGAAGAGTTTTCTGAGTAGTGGATGAAAAGCTTTGGGATCATACTAGGGTGAGTCTTGAATACTATATGGCAGAGCAGCTGGCTCCAGAGTTTACTTTGAGTAGTCACTGAGGGCTTGAAAACTGGGCACTTTTGAAGCAGTGCTTCATGAAGAATGATCTGGCACTGAGATCTGGGTAGGATTTGAGTAGGGAGAAAGAGCAGGACTAGACACAGCAAGACCAGCTAGAAGTCTCTTATTATGGTTGAAGTCAGAAGTACTCAGGAACATTAAGAAAGTAATGAAAGTCTGAACTGGGGGATCACAGAGGGATGGAAAGGAAGGTCTGAATGTAAGAGGAAAAATAGAGTTAGAATTAACGATACTTACTGATTGATCATGTTGTCCCTGGGTGGTGCTAAACGAAAGGTTGGAGGTTCAAGTTCATCCAGAGGTGCCTTGGAAGAAAGGCCTGGTGATCTACTTCTGAAAGATTATAGCTCCTGAAAATCCTGCGGAGCACAGTTCTACACCGACCCAGTAGAAGCCACCATGAGTTGGAATCAACTCCATGGCAACTGGTATTTATTGACTGACTGAATGGAGAAAAGCAAAAAATGACTTGGATATTTTTTATTTGGATTACTAGGAATGCAATGGTGCCATTAGTAGAAATCATTAAACTAGGTTGAGGAATGATTTATAAAAGGGAAGACGATGAATCTGATTTGGGACGTGTTGAGTCCAAACACATCAAGCAGAGCCAAAATTTCTAATATAAGTATCCCTTACTGTAATGAATTCTAATAGGATTTTTAAAATAGGGCACTGATTCCATGCAAGTCTGTTGCTGTCGAGTCAATTCCGACTCATAGCGACTCTACAGGACAGGGTAGAACTACCCCATGGGGTTTCCAAGGCTGTAATCTTTACGGAAGCAGACTGTCACATCTTTCTCCTGCAGTGTAGGAGGGATTCTGCCTCCCAGGGAACATTTGGCAATGTCTAGAGACCTTTTTGGTTGCCAAGACTGAGAGAAAAAGCGCTACTGGCATCTGGTGGGTAGAGGCCAGGGACGCCGCTAAACATCCTACAATGCACAGGACAGTCCCCTGCAACAAAGAATTAACAGTAGCACTGAGATTGAAAAACCCTGCCTTAATATAATCCAATAGCACAAATTTCAGGAAGTTTTAAGCTTAATAGTATTTTAGGTTAGACAATGACACCTGCTGGCCAAGTATAATATTTATCTTGGTTCTCTTAACACTAATAAAAGAAAACAAAAATGACTGAGAAAGCTAAGACATACAGAGATGAGGACTATCCTTCCATGGGAGAACTGTCTAGGGTTTATGTACACAGATGTGGTGGGGAGGTCAGGTGTGCAGCCGTGGAGAAGAAATCCTGGAGTTAGAAGGTGCTCTTTGGTTGTAAGAGATTTCATAATACAAGTCAATAAGGAGATAGAACTTTTGACAAAATGCATTCTGTATGGAATGCATTATATTCCATTTAAGTGCCCTATATTTTACTATTGTTCCTGCATTAAAAAAGGAAATGAAATCTAATAATTCTGCCGAATAACTGACTGAAACCTTTATTTCTTAAGCACGGAACGTATGGCATTTTGTTTCCTTAATAAATAAAGATGGAACATACTTAAGGTGATTTTAGAATTATGAAAAAATACAAGATGAATAGCAATAGAAGCTAGAAAGAAGAGGTTTTTGCCCTAAGAAGTAGTATTCCACATGCCTTATATTTTACCTCCCTTACTAGGTGGTTGGGGCCCTGGTGGCACAGTAGTTAAGAGCTCAGCTGCTAACCAGAAGGTTGGCAGTTCGAATCCACCAGCCACTCCTTGGAAAGCCTATGGTGCAGTTCTACTCAGTTCTATAGGGTCGCTATGAGTTGGAATTGACTCAATGGCAATGAGTTTACTAGACGGTAAGCTTCCTGAGGTCAGGGATTGTGTCAAATTCATATTTTTGTATTTCCCACAGTATCTGGCATAGCATCTTACACAGAGTAGACACAGAAATGGTTTTTGAGTGAATGAATTTTCATACTGGAAGTCTTTGCCTTGAAGTGAAGAAACTTTCAAGTCTTTCTGAGCAATTATATTTGTTCACTTGAATACAATGCCAGCTCAGGGGACCTGGCTCAGGGACCTCCAGAGCTGTGGGCAAAGGGAGGTGGTAACAGACACCTCCAATTCATTTCCCTGGGAAGCCTAGAGCAAACTGTATTATAATGACCATTGTCAGGGCCATTTTTGGGGACTGTTGTGTGAACTGTAGATTCCTCTGTCTGATATAAGATTCATTCATTCAACAAATATTTATTGACTGTCTCTTTCGTACTAGACACTCTTCTAGAAACTGGATAATTTAAGCCTAAACAGTCCTTAAGTTGACAGGCAGGTTTTGAATTGGTGGATTAGAATACAGATGCAGATTCCCCCATCTTCCCACTTTCCAGTTAGCAGAATGTTTTCTACTTGGAAAATGCAATCTGACCAAGGATCTCAAAGCAGCTCACCACTATGAAAGGACTCTCCTTCCACAACCACTGCTCTGCTGGGGCAATGACACCAGCAATCTCCATCCCTTTCTCTCTTTGTTTGTGTTTCCTCTTTCCTCATGGCCTCTTACACTTCCAGCCTTTGGGTGGGGTAGGAGGGGGCCATATTTTACAGACAAATGATGATGACTCATGCGTATTTTAGAAGGGGCAACTGAAGCTTGTAGTATATAAAGCGACCCTGCAGAAGATTTCTTTCGGATAGATTTATTAACAACCCTATTATTCTAGAGTCTAGGGATATACAAAGTCAGAAAGAAGAAAAACCAGCCCCCATGGTACCCAAAAGAAAATGGGACAGACAGGCTGGTGGGGCCCTGTTTCGGCCACAGAATAAGTGCATTGTGCTATATCGAGGGTTTCGATGAATTTTTCGTATCCCGACTGAGCACATTTTGGCATCTTCTTCTAGGACTCAGTACAACCAGGAAGCACACTCAAACGCACTTCTCCACATATGTGAGCTGCATGACATGGCCTCCTAATGCTAACTGAAGCGGATTGAATGAATTCACCAACACTACTACTATGATGCGATCAATGAAAGGTGATGGTGACCCCCCAACCTTTTCCCTTTGCATTGTTGGGGAGTTGGTGTTATCCTAAGGTCACTATTGTCTAATTCCTATCAGTCCAGGCTTGTGGCCCCTAATTGCTTCTAGCTGGGCCAAAGCATCCACAACACAGCAGGGGGCAGGGGAGCATTCCAGCTTTTCCCCAAAGCAGTGGATGACATCTTTGGTTCATGTGCATTGTCTTCTCCTATGTTTGTTAGAATCTTTATGAGTCACAGCCCTACATCTCTTCCTCAGCCGAGACTGCAAGAGTCCCCAACCAACTTATTCAAAACTCTCCTTGCCACAGGTCCAGCAGCGTGGTAACTTACTCAAATCCAGTTGCTTGGAAACCGTCGGTGACTTGGCTTGTCCTCCATTCCCCTCCACAGTCCGCCCCCTTACACAGCAGGCACCCAGAGACTTTTAAAGTTCATCACTCTCCACTACACTCCGAGAAGAGCAGGAATACAGCATTGTGCTTTCCATGGAGGAAAAGGCAGAAAAAATGTCAAGTCCTTTACTGGTGAGAGATCCATAGCGACTGCCACTGGTCCGGATGGACATGGGTGGTGGGATCTGCTGGTGCCACTGAGCTGGAAATAGACCAAAGAATATGTTATGAGCAAGCAAATAAATACAGTCTAGCAGGTACACTGGAGTCCCCAGGTGGTGCAAATGATTGATGTGCTTGGCTGCTAACTGAAAGGTGGTGGGAGGTTCAAGGTCACCCAGAGGCGCCTCATAAGAAAGGCCTGGAGATCTTCTTCTGAAAAACCAGCCTTTGAAAACCTTAGGGAGCACAGTTCTATTCTGACACACATGGGTCGCCATGAGTCGGAATCGATTCCATGCAATTGGATTGGCAGGCACACTTCAGAGGCACGTTCTGTGCTCACTCCGACTCTCCTTGTGGGGCCTTGGTAAAGCATTTAAATCTATCTGGATCTAAATCGCCTCATTTGCAAAACAGAGCAATAAAACCTCTGCCAGGAATAGGGAAATTGGGCTAGTGATCTCCTAAGCCTCTTCTGATTCCAAAACCTGTGCTTTTAATTTAGGAAGAACCAGGCATATAAGAAGGAAAAACAGGTGACTAGGGTGAGTTCTCAAGATTATCCCCTCTCGCTGATCTAGGACCGGGTCTGCTGTGGTCAGATGGAAGGTTGCAGGATCTCAAGGGACGGAACCTCAGGAGGCAGAGACAAGGAATCTGCTGAAATGGAAGCCAAAAGATGGGCTTAGCCCTCTGCAGAAGTACCTACCCCACACCCTAACCGCCTAATCAGCCAGTACCTACCCTGCCCACCACTCTCACCAGGTTCTGATGAGTTTCAGTAAGGAGACTGAAAAGTACAATGAACCATGGTTCAGGGACAAAAGACAATTTATTAGAGTTTCTGTGTTCACCAAGCACTGTGCAAAGGAGAGCCTATTTTCAGCAGACATGATCCTTAGGCTTGAACGTGGCCTGAATGAAATTACCCCATGCAAACTGCACAGTCCCCATTGTCTCTGATTTGGAAATTACCAAGCAATCTTCTGATTAGGTTTCCTGGGTACCCTGATGCAGAGAAAGGAGTATACCAGGTGGGGAAAACTGGTGCTCTGGGTCCTAGAAAGCTAGGGCCCCTCTTGTGAATTTGCACATTAGCATTCTGGTTTATAAATTAGTCATTTTTCGATTTCATTATTTTGAATCAGTTTTTCAGAGTCTAAATACTTCGAGTGAAGGGATAAAATCAAATTTCTGAAGCTGTAAAACTGAGGACACAACCTACAGTGATTCCACCAAAGAGCAGGCACTTGGTTCTGCAAGGCCCGTCCTGAACAGTGAAGAGGCAAGATCCTCTCTCCAGTCCTTCCGTCTCTTAGCCTCCCTGCTCCCCTCTCTGACATCTTACCTGGACTACCTGTAATACCAAGTATTGGAAGCCTTACTTTGAAGGAGTTCCTGGGGGTGCAAATGACAGCCAGCTGAAAGGTTGGCCGTTCGGACCCACCTACAGGCGCCTCAGAAGACAGGCCTGGCAATCTGCTTCTGAAGGTCACAGCCTTGAAAACCCCACGGAGCAGTTCTACTCTGCACATGGCGGGGGGGGGGGTCACCAAGAGTTGGAATCAACTCGATGGCACCTAACAACAACAACTACCACCAACAATAATAATAATGCTTTAAGACAAGAAGCATTACTAGAAATAAAGAAGGTCGTTTCATAAATATAAATGGGTCAATCTAGCAGCCCTCCTCTGCAGAGAGAAGGGAGACTACCGTCCCCACTCTTTAGACAGGCAGAAGGTGGGGGAGGGCATAGGGGACTGATTCTAGCCCAAGTCCCTCATTCCCTCCTCTAGCACAAACCCCCTCCCAACCGAGGAAACAGCGCCTCCTATTGTTGGTGCTGTGGAATCAGGAGGGGAACTTGGGGAGAAGTGAGCCAGGACAAACTGTCCTGGGGACTCAGCCACTGGAGGGCAGGATTGGAGAAACAGTCACCAATTTCAGGGTTACTGGTACTAAGTTTTTTAGGAGACAACCTACTTGCTTCTGACATGGAGAAGTGTGGGAAAAGGTAAGCGACTTCTTCACCAATACCGTAATTCAAAGGCATTAACTCTTCTTCAGTCTTATTCATTGTCCAGCTTTCGCATGCATACGAATCAATTGAAATAACATGGCTTGGGTCAGGCACACCTTACTCCTCAAAGTGACATCTTTGCCTTTTAACACTTGAAAGAGGTCTTTTGTAGCAGATTTGCCCAATGTAATACGTCGTTTGATTTCTTGACTGCTGCTTCCATGGATGTTGATTGTGGATCCAAGTAAAATGAAATCCTTGACAACTTCAATCTTTTCTCCATTTATCATGATGTTGCTTATTGGTCTTTGATCTTTATCAGTAAGTGCTTCAAGTCCTCTTCACTTTCAGCAAGCAAGATTGTGTCATTTGCATGTTGCAGGTTGTTAATGAGTCTTCCTCCAATCCTGATGCCCTGTTCTTCTTCATATAGTCTGGCTTCTCCCATTATTTGCTCAGCATACAGATTGAATAAGTATGGTGAAAAGATATAACCCTGACACACGCCCTTCCTGATTTTAAACCACTCAGTATTCCCTTTTTCTGTTCAAATGACTGCCTCTTGGCCTATGTACAAGTTCTGCATGAACACAATTAAGTGTTTGGGAATTCCCATTCTTCACAATGTTATCCATAAGTTGTTATGATCCACAAAGAGTCGAATGCCTTTGCATAGTTAATAAAACACAGGTAAACATCTTTCTGGTATTCTCTGCTTTCAGCCAAGATCAGCAATGATATCCCTCATTCCATGTCCTCTTCTGAATCCAGCTTGAACTTCTGGCAGTTCCCTGTTGATGTACTGCAATCATTTTTGAATTATCTTCTGCAAAATTTTACTTGCTCCAGAAATTGGACCTAGGGGAAATAGCAGGCCAAGGCCTCTCCTGTTTGGCACTAAATAAAGCGGGGAGGTACCTGGTATAACCCTATAAATAGCAGGAATATCAGGTTCTAGGCAGAGTTTCTAACCCAGTAACAAATGAGTAACGCGTTGATCTAAACAATTATTTTAAAAAATAAAAAAAGGAAGGAGAAGAAAAAAAAAGAATCGCTCTTTTGGGTTAAGGAATAAACAACCAACCAACCAAACAAAACAAACCCATTGCTGTCCAGTCGATTCCAAGTCATATAGCAAATATGTCTCCAAAACTACCAGCTCGTGTCAAAAATATAGGCAAGAGGAGTAGAGTACACAAATACGTTAACAAAGATGAACTTTATTAAATCATTTTGAAAATTATAAACTTCGCTCAAAAGAACCATGCAAAGACCTGGGTTTGTGTCCCACTTGTTAGTTACTTAATCTCTCTGAGACTCAGTTTCTTCAGCACTTAAATGAGGGTAACAATTACAATCCCTATGGGGAAGTTCTACTCTGTCCTATACGGTCTCTATGAAACGGAATCGATTCATTGCCACAGGGTAAGCAATGGGTAAACCATTACAGTAATCTCACTGGTTTGAGAGGATCCAAGGGTAACGTTTTGTAAATTACAAGTCACTGTATCAATGTCATTTGATAGTAGTATTAGGACAGATTTCTATTATTAGGGAAGTCTGACTGTGGGCAATAAATATTTGTTGAATGAATAAAAAATGAAAGGAGTTCAGAGAATTCATCCAGGTGGAGGTACTGTGGGGGATGCCAGGCTTGAGTGGGTGGCCCTAGGCAGCAAAGAGGTGACATGAAGGTGTTGGATGCTCAGAAGTACAAGCATATGTATGCTATGTACAGAAGACCTGAGGGGGCTAGCATGAGATTACTTTAAAAATCCATCTCTTATGCACTAAAATATAATCTGACCAATTCACGTATGAAAAAATATTACACGTTTCCCTAAATATACATCTGTTTGACTCATGACATTACACCTACCATATATATCCAACCTCGCAGTGCACGACACAATACCGGCTTCATTCTTGGCTGACAACGTGTACCATCCAGCGTCCGATTTCTTGACTGGCTGGATGAGGAGGCAGACATACCCTGTTGCGTCCTGGTGCATACTGGAGAAAAGAAAGAAGATAGCCAGTTAGGGGCAGAAAGGTCCTTGTCAGGTTTAGGGTTCAGGGACCTCGTAGAGCCAATTGAGCTGTGCTGAGTTTCCTTTCCCCTTCCTGTCCCTAAGAGCAGGAAAGGAGGGACTCAGCTTAAAGCAAACATCAAAGGCAAATTTGAAGGTGGAAAGAAGTCAAAAAAGAGCAGCAATTAACCTAAAATATTAAGATGAAGGTCAACAGCCATGGCTGAGCCCTGTTCTTGCCCTCTCCACTGCTCCAGCTCTACTGGAGTTCCACTTTCCACCAGGACGTGCTCCCACTTTTCACAAGCAAAGTCTGGAAAAATCTCTTTTCCAAACAAGAGTGGAAATTTCAACAAGAACTTTCGTTAGGAAGCTATGGAAAAGTAGATGAAAATGAGAGCCCAGGGATAGAGGAGCTAACAGCACGGAGCTGGCATAGCCTAAGGGCATGTGCGGCATTTAGCTTAATATGGTTAAGAAGGAAAATTAGCACACTCTTTCCTTCTGTCTTGTCTGCATTGGTGGTTCTCAGGTTTGGCTGCACACTGGAATCCCAGGCCACACCCCAGACCAATTCCATCCAAGTCTAAGGCTGGGGCCCAGGTATGAGGATTTTTAGAAGCTCTCCAGATGATTCCATTATTCAACCAGGACTGAGGACCTCTGGTCCACACCATCCCTCTTGTTGGCCTGGTCACCTTACCATAGTTCTAAGTGCCCTTCTGAGGTGGCCTCAGCTCATTTTCAGGGCAGACATAACTGATGCCTTCCTAAGCTCAAAGGATGAACAAGTGTTTCTCTTCCATAGAAAGTTACCACATGTCCACATTTAACAAGAATAAATAAAGTAATAAACCCATTACAGTCTCACCACTCTAACACATTGGCTACCTTCACTTTCTTTTTCTTTTAGAATCAACTTTATTAAGATATAATTCACATACAATAAATTATATCCATTTTAAGTGTATAGCTTGATGAGTTCTGGCAAATGTGAACACTCCTGTAAGTACCACCAGAATCAAGAAACTTTTTACCTTCACTTTCGATTAATTCATTCATTCTTTGGTGCATTTTTTTAGTAAACCTTTATTGAATATCTACTGTGCTAGGCACAATGCTGGTGTCACTATGCTTGTGATAGGGAGCAAAGATGGATATGACAAAACTCCCTTCTCTAGAGAAGTCTTTGGAGTCCCTGGATGGCACAAATAGTTAAGTACTCAACTGTTGGCCAAAAAGTTGACGGTTTGAACCCACCCAGAGATACTTCGGAAGAAAGGCCTGGTGATCTGCTTCCTAAAGGTCATCACCTTGGAAAACCCTATGGAGCAATTCTACTTTGTGCACATGGGGTTGCCATGAGTCAGAATTGACTTGAGGACAACTAACAACAACAGAGGAATCCTTAGTTTAGTAGGAGAGAAATAAAGGTAAGCAAACAGAACACAATAAAAGCTAGAACAGACTTAGGAAGGTGCTCTGGAAGCATAGAAGGGAAGTGATTTTGAGGGGCCCCAGGCAGCAAGGAGGCAGCATGAAGATGCTGGATGCTCAGAAGTACAAGCATATGTAAGCTCTGCTCTAGGCAGGAGGCTAAGCTCCTAATAAACGTAAAACTGTACAAAAGACCTGACGTTAGTTGCTAGGATGAGGTTAGTTTAAAAATCTACCTCTTAACACCTAAAATATAATAGAACAAATTCACTTATGGGAAAGCTTCTTGGAAGATATGCTTGAGCTGAGTCTAAAAGGTTGAGTAGGAACTCACCAAGGGGGTAGGGACAAGGGTGTTCCAGGTGATGAGAACAGCCTGGCCAAGGCATGATGGTGTGGGAGAGTCTGCAGCACATTCATTATGGCTGGGAGTGGGCCTATGGGGGGCCAGTAGGTGGTAGGGCGGGGAAGGAAGGCAGGGAGAGGTTATGAAGGGTCACATGTACTGCGTGGTAAAGGGTTGAGACTCTTCCCTACAAGCAGGAGTGGATTAACCAGTAAATACGATACACATGGGTTTATGGTAAACAAGGTATCCTAGGGCGTAATTGTGTTTACTTACTAATCTGTTATGTGGCAGTTCTACTCTGTCCCATAGGGTCGCTGTGAGTTGGAAGTGACTTGACAGCAACAGGTTTGGTTTTTCCTCCACGCGTCTGTCAGTTTAGGGCTTGCAGGTTGCTGTGATGCCGGAAGCTATACCGCCGGTATTCAAATACCAGCAGGGTCACCCTAGTGGACAGGTTTCGGCTGAGCTTCCAGTCTAAGACATACTAGGAAGAAGGACCTGGCAGTCTACTTTTGAAAAGAATTAGCCAGTGAAAACCTTATGAATAGCAGCAGAACACTGTCTGATACAGTGCTGGAACATGAGCCCCTCACGTTGGAAGGCTCTCAAAATACAACACGGTGGCTGCAACAATGGGCTCAAGCACAGCAATGATTGTGGGGATGGCGCAGGACCGGGCAGTGTTTCCTTCTGTTGTACACAGGATCGCTATGAGTCAGAACCAACTTGACGGCATCTAACAACAACAACAACTAATCTGCAGTGCACAATTTCAGGAAAACAGGTGAAATTGTGAAATTTTGCACTACAGATTAGTAAGTAAGCACAAGTATGCTTGTGTGTACCTTGCTTACTGGGTAATCTCTCCCTGCCTACAGGTGATGGGAAACCATGGATGTACTTCACGTAAGAGGTGATAGGGTCTGCTGGCATTTTTAAAAGACCACTCTGACCATGGTTAGAATGCGAATTGAATACGGGCTGAGCTGGGAGGCAGAGCCTTGGTGGTGCAGTGGTTAAGAGCTCGGCTGCTAACAAAAAGGTCGGCAGTTCAAATCCACCAGCCGTTCCTTGGAAACCCTATGAGTCGTAATTGACTCGACTGCAATGGGTTTGGTTTTGGTTTTTGATGAGTCTGGAGGCAGAGAGACATATTAGGACGCCATTGCCACAGTTTCATAGGAAACCTTGGTGGCTTTGTGGTTAAGAGCTACAGCTGCTAATCAAAAGGTCAGCAGTTTGAATCCACCAGGTGCTCCTTGGAAAGTCTATGGGGCAGTTCTACTCTGTCCTTTAGGGTCAGAATCAACTTGATGGCAACAGGTTTGGTTTTGGTTAGTGAGGTGAGGTGATAGTAATGGAAATTGACGCATTTGTTCATAATTCATTCATCCTAAAAATCCTACCAAGTGGAAGGCATTGTGCTGGGTGTTGTGACTTAGGACATACAGAGGCAAACAAAATGCAGTCCCTGAGCTCAAGCTGCTCACCATCTAGCTGGGGAGAGAAATAGTTAAACCAACAACAGTAAAAAACATGACAATGTGCAATAGTGTGCCACAGAAGAATACTCAGGCCAGGGCAGAGGAGGAGAAGGAAGAAGGAACCTACTCTTCCTTGGGTAGGTGATGTTTGAGCTGAGCCTTGAGGGATAACAAATATTAGGGAGGGTACTGGTAGATAAGGTAGGTGGGGGGAGACACAAAGAAGACTGTTCCCAAAGAAGGACTGTTAGGAGCAGAGACACGTTGGTGAGAGGAAAAAAAAAAAAAAAACCCAAACCCGTTGCCGTAGAGTCCATTCTGACCCTAAAGGACACAGTAGAACTGCCCCTGTAGGGTTTCCAAGCAGTGCCTGGTGAATTTGAACTGCCGACCTTTTGGTTAGCAGACACAGCTCTTAACCACTACGCCACCAGGGTTTCCAGTGAGAGAAAGGAGAGGGCATGGAATCCATAAATACAACATAGTTATAATCATAGTGAGTTTTATGTGATTTTTTTTAGGGCAATTCAGGTGCTGTCAGGCGTGTGGCTTTCTAGAAACCAATAACTATAGCTTTAAAATACCAGAATTCCCTATTCTTACCCCAAAATGACAGATACAATTTTCATCAAAGGCAAGGGGATGTTATTTCTTTCTGGAAGATTCTGAGTGGTCTTGGGTCTTAAACTTTCCCCATCACAGGCTGCCAGTCACCTCCATATCTCCCAGGCTGCGTTTGGGGGCAGTGGTGACAAGGCTGGCTTGGCTCCACGAGTCCAGAGCCTGAGCCATCACCCCAGTCCCCAGCAGGCAGCCCTGACTGGGAACCTACTTTCCAGGTATTGAGTTTTTGCCCAATAAAACTATATTTTAAATTTTAGACCTTCAGTTTAAACACAAGGTTCAGTTTACCTAATATAATGTATTCAATCTAATTTTAACGTGTTATGTTAATTTAGGCGGAAGTGTTTAGTAAAGAATATTCTTTGTTCTTGCTTTAGTTTTACCAGAGAAAAATTCTGACCTTTATATAAAATTCTTAGCTAGCTATAGCATCTTCTTGGACAAATTCAGTTTACTGGGAAGAGAGAATTCTCAGTAGAAATTTTTGTACACAAGCTACCTTTGCTTGTTTGCCTGCCCCCTTGTGGTATAAAGACAAAATGGCAAAGAACTAAGGTTGGTTAGGGTAAAACAAGGCAAGGTACCCACTTTAAGAAACTGGATCCTTAAGATTACTTAAAAAACAAACCATGTAGTGATGGATGGAGAAAGAATATAACCTACTTAATGTTTTATCTCTTCTTTAAAAAGATTTTTACTGTCAAAGAGGTTTTCTGGATACTAATATGACTCTTTAAAGTGTTAAAAATCAAAGATGTCACTTTGATGACTAAGGTGTGCCTGACCCAAGCCATGGTCTTTTTCACTGCCTCATAGACATGCTAAAGCTGGACAATGAAAAAGGAAGACCGAAGAAAAATTGGTGCATTTGAATTATGGTGTTGGCGAAGAATATTGAATGTGCCATGGACTGCCAGAAGAATGAACAAATGTGTCCTGGAGGAGGTACAGCCAGAATGCTCCTTAGAAGCAAGGATGGTGAGACTTTCTCTCACTTGCTTTGGACTTGTCATCAGGAAAGACCAATAGCTGGAGAAGGACATTATGCTTGGTAAAGTAGAGCGTCAGCCAAAAAGAGGGAGACCCTCAATGAGATGAATTGACACTGTTGCTGCAACAATGGGCTGAAACACAGTGATGACTGTGAAGCTGGCAAAGAAGGACGTTTCGTTCTGTTAAACGTAAGGTCACTGTGAGTCACAGCCGACCCAACGGTACCTAACAACAACGCAACAAGATGACTGAAGACACATGGAAAAAATATGCAGGATTTTTATAAATTCCTCTACATTTTTAAACTTGAAGATTTTTAAAACTGTGGATATCCATACAAAGGAGTACCACTCAGCAATAAAAGGAATAAGGCACACCAAAACGTGGATGAATCTCAAGTGCATGATGCTAAGTAAGCGAAACCAGAATTGAAAGGCTAGACTTGTTTGGGTGGTCAAACAAACCCCACTGAGCTTGGAAGTCCCTCTGAATGTGGGTGGGTGCTGTACCTGATCCTTTCTCTGGTGAACGGGATGGTCTCGTTGTCTTTCTTCCAGTAGAACACGGGCGGGGGCATGCCTATCACTCGGCACTCTAGTCTCACCGGGTGGCCTTCTGGAACACCACTGTTCTGCAGTTTCTCCAGGATCATAGGCGCTTTCTTCACCTCTTTGGCTGAGTGAGAGAAGGGACATTCTTGTTTGAATCATGAGTACCTTGAAGTTCATGTCTCAAACTCACTACAATTGTGGAATTTAGCAGAGTGAGCGTGCAACAAACTTATTTTCTCCTCAAAACACCTCTCACACTTCTCAGTGAGGATTATTGCCTTGATAAAAGTTCCATAAACGGTTAAGAAATAACTGTCCATTCCTATGAGGGACAACACTCATGGAACTCCATTACTCACTGGGGTGCAAATAGTATGTGTGTAATTAAAATATATATATTGTTATTGTTCAGTAGGAAATTTTAAGCAATAGTATTTTTGAAATTACTAAAATAGATCCTTTTTTTCTTTTTGAGAGGAGTTTATTTTGTAGAAGATACATTACTTCACTCCCAACTTTTTAATTTGGAAAAATTCCATATTTACAGAAGAGTTGAAAGAATCATACTATTTTTTAAAAAACACAAAATTATGTTTCTTAAGAAGTCTTTTTTTTTTTTGGACAGTACCCATTAAAGCAAAGATACCTCATATCTCAGGGTTCTAGAGTCAATATTTTAGCAAAACTTTTGAAAAAGGTAAAAGCCTGCAATCAGTGTGTTCTATTCTATTAGTAAGAAGAAATTAAGAGTAAGAAAAGTGAAAAAAAAGATATCCTGTGGAAATGGCCACTATCTGAGAAGACCGTCATGTGGAAGCAACCCTGGTTTCTTTTTTTTCTTTTATTGTACTTTAGATGAAGGTTTACAGAACAAATAGTCTCTCATTAAACAGTCAGTCCGCATATTGTTTTATGACATTTGATAACAACCCCACGAGTCAACACTTTCCTTCTCAACCTTGGAGGACCTTTTTTTTTTTTTTTTGGTGAAAATATACATAGACAAAGATACACCATTTCAAAAATTTCTACATGTACAATCAGTGACATCGATTACATTTTTCCAGTTGTGCTGCTATTCTCACTATCCTTTTCCAAATTATTCCATCACCATTATCTTCAACTCACTGCCCCCTAAGGTTCCCATCAAACCTTTTGAGTTGCTGTTGTCAATTTGATCTCACATAATTTTTTTTTGTACTTTATATGAAGGTTTATAGAACAAATAGTTTCTCATTGAACAGTTAGTACACATATTGCCCTATGACAATGGTTAACAACCCCACACATGTCAACACTGTCCTTTCTCAACCTTGGGTTCCCTATCACCAGCTTTCCTGTCCCCTCCTACCTTCTAGTCCTTGTCCCTGGACTGCTGTGCCTCATTAGTCCCATTGTGTTTTATGGGGCTGTCCAATCCCTGGCTGAAAAGTGAACCTTGGGAGTGACTTCACCACTGGACTAAAAGGGTGTCCAGTGGGCATACTCTTGGGGTTTCTCCAGTCTCTGTCAGGCCAGTAAATCTGGTCTTTTTTGTGAGTTAGAATTTTGTTCTACATCCTTCTCCAGCTCTGTTCAGGATCCTCTGTTGTGATCCCAGTCAGAGCAGTCAGTGGTGGTAGCCGGGCACCATCTAGCTGTACTGGATTCAGTCTGGTGGAGGCCTTGGTAGCTGTGGTCTATTAGTCCTTTGGACTAATCTTTTCCTTGTATCCTGTTCTCATCATTCTCCCTTGCTCCTGAAGGGGTGAGACCAGTGGAGTATCTTAGATGGCTGCTCAAGGCTTTTAAGACCCCAGATGCTACTCACCAAGGTAGAATGTAGAACATTGTCTTTATAAACTGTGTTATGCCAATTGAGCTAGATGGTCCCCTAGACCATGGTCCCCACAGCCCTCTGCCCAGCAATTCAGTCCCTCAGCGAGTTTGAATGTGTCTGTGGAGCTTCCATGACCTTTCCTTGTACTAGTTGTGCTGGCTTCCCCAATATTGTGTACTGTCTTACCCTTCACCAAAGTTACCACTTATCTATTGTCTATTTAGTGCCCCCCTACCCCTCCCATCCCTCGTAACCAACAAAGATCTTTTCTTTTTGTGCAACCCTGGTTTCTTAAGGGGTCACACTTGGGAGACAGTAGGAGAAAGCCCAAAATTAGAATTCCTGTGTTCTAAAATCTAATTCTGGCTGGCCCTTCCCAGGTGACAATGCCTTGCTGTCCTTCTCTGTAGGCATTACAGTGTTTTGTTCACATCATCTTCTAAGGTAGAGTTCATTTGTTTAGTTATTCCTTCAACATTTGTTGAGTACCTTCCGTGTTCCAGGCACCGAGTCAGACACTGGGATACACAGAAGAACAAGCCAGAGTCTCTGTTCTCAGAAGCTCATAGCCTCCTCTGGGAGGTAGAGAAGCAAACAATTACACAGAAGTCTATAAGTGTTCTACGAGTTCCTCCTTTTCCTAGTGCTATGGAAACATAGGGGAGGATGAGAAGGAGTAGCTGCACCTGCTGGATCCACTCTGTCTTGGTGGCAACATTTGAATTAGGCCTTAGAGGATGAGTAGGAGGTTACCAAGCAGAGAAGGGCATTCTAGGCCAAGGGACCACTGATGCAAAGGCATGGAAACTTAGGGGAAAAACAAGAGCCTGCTGTATTCCAGTAATGATGGACTGTAGGGCAAGTGACCTACATTTAGTGGTAGTCAATTAATTACTCAGTCAATCAATCAATTAACTTATAATGGTTCCCATTGATTGCATGCATAATATGCACAAGGAACCACATTAAGTTTTTAGCTTATCAATATGAGTTTGAAAACAACGTAAGAAGTATTGGCCTTTACTATAGCGAAGAGGTAACTGAGATTGGGTTTGGTGTTCTGTCAGAGGCTCTGCATATGTGGGCAATAACTTCGGAGAGGGTTATGTTTAGGGGTCCCAGCAGCAAAACTTACCTACTACAGTGAGCTCCAGACTAAAGGAATTCTGCCCGGTTTTGTTGGTAGCAACGCACGTATAGGTCCCTGCATCCCCTTGAGTTAGCGGGTCAATGAGCAGAGAGTGGACTCCAGTCTCCCTGACGAGCATCTTGTGGGAGGTGTCTGGTAGCACAGGCTGGCCATTCAGCAGCCATGTCAGCTCCGGGGTCGGCAAGCCACTCACCTAATAAGCAACAGGAGAGCTGAGGCAAATGACAGACTGATTACAGGTAGATTTATTTGGTGGCTGAATTCTTCATCCTTGCCTGGCACCAAATAGAGAAACAGGAGATAGTGAGAAACCTCTCCGCAGGAGCAACAGGAGAAGAGGGGTCTGGAGGGCTGGGTCTGGCAGCCATTCTTCCGGCTGAGGAAGGCCAGGGGACTCCCTACCACTACACAGCCAGAGTAGTGGATACCTGTCTACAGCCAAAGTAAGTCCTGCCTGTATCAGGAAATGGGGGAAGGGGAATTCGTTTAAAGGTTTACTATATATTCCATAAGGTGTTCTGGTGGTGCAACAATTTAGCACTTAGCTGCTAACTGAAAGGTTAGCCGTTCAAACCCAGCCAGCGGCTCCGTGGGAGAAAACACCTGGTGGTGATCTGTTCCCGTAAAGATTATAGCCTAGGAAACCCTATAGAGCAGTTCTACTCTGTCACATGGAGTCACTATGAGTCAAAATTGACTTGATAGTACCCAACAACAACATATATTCCATATATGTCATGCTTTATCTTTGAGCTATAATTATAATTGAGGTGCAGCCAAAACTGATTACACATTTATTTCATTTAGTGTATTTATTGCTGCGTGAATTTTTTTATTGTAATCTACACATAACAACACATACAACATTTCATCAATTTCTGCATGTACACTTCAGTGATATTGATTACATTCTTCACGCTCTGCACCGATTTTCACTCTCTTTTTGCAAACTATTCCACCATCATTAACATACCTGCAATGTTCCAAGCTAAAACCCCCTGCCTTCCCCTCTCTCCTGCCCCTGGTAACCAATAATTACTTTTGGTTTCTATGTATTTGCTTATTTCATATAAGTGATAGCGTACAGTATTTGTCCTTTTGTGTCTGACTTATTTTGGTCAGCATAATGTCCTCAGGGTTCATCCATGTTGTGGCATGCCTCAGGACTTCATTCCTTTTTATGGCTGAGTAATATTCCATTGTATGCATATACCACATTTTGCTTATCCATTCATGCTGCATCGTGAATTTAAACTGTAGGGTATTTTGATCGCAATTCAGGTCATGATTAATCTAATTTTATCTTGTTGTTAGGTGCTGTTGAGTTGGTTCTGACTCACAGTGAGTCTGTGTATAAAGAACAAAATGCTGCCCCGTCCTGCACCATCCTCACAATCGTTGTTATGTCTGAGCCCACTGTTGCAGCCCCTGTGTCAATCCGTCTCATCGAAGGTCTTCCTCTTTTTGGCTGACCTTCTGCTTTACCAAGAATGATACCCTTTTCCAGGGTCTGGTCCCCCCGATAACATGTCCAAAGTACGTGAGACAAAGTCTCGCCATCCTCTCTTCCAAGGAGAATTCTGGCTGTACTTCTTCCAAGACAGATTTGTTCGTTCTTCTGGCAGTCCATGGTATAGTCAATATTCTTCTCCAACACCACAATTCAAATCCATCAATTCTTCGTCAGTCTTCCTTATTCATTGTGAGGCTTTCAGATGCATACGGGGTGATTGAAAATACCATGGCTTGGGTCAGGTGCACCTTAGTCCTCAAAGTGACGTCTTTGCTTTTTAACACTTT